AAAAAAAAACATTTTTTTTTTTTTTTTTTTCTTTTTTTTTAATTCCCCCCCCCCCCCCCCCCCTTCTTTTTTTTAGATTTTTCAGTTTTCTTTTTTTATTTTTTAGATTTTTCATTTTTATGATATTTTCAGTTTTCGATTTTTCACTTTTTTTTTTTGATTATTCATTTTTTTTCTTTTTCTTTTTTTTTTTCCTTAGATTTTCCAATCTTTACTCGAGGCCACCTACGGAGTTAAACAAGGACAAAAAAATTTCTATTGGTACGCTAGTTAAAAAATGATTTTAAAAAAAGAAAAAAAAAACTCTATTCAAATAAGGGAACGATATATACCTTCACTACGGTATATATAACGGACAGACAAGGGGCGCAATCGGCGGCAAATTGCATCCACTGTTGTTATTAGTTGGTGGAGTCATCTTGATCACGTTGAACCCTTTTAATATTTTCGGCATGTGAATCTTTCGTAGCCACTTTCGCATCTTTGAAGGTTTTTTATTCATTTTGGGTGCAGAATGTTGTGGTGAATGACCAAGGAGAGGTGCGGTACCGGAAGTTGTGGAGGATGGCGATGAAGACGGTGAAGATGGAGATATTTTCGCGACATCTAAACAAGATAGATTGGCATTAGAGTGGGGGAAAAAGAAAGAAACAAGATTCAAGAAATCGAATGTAAACCAAAAAATAAGGGTCAAGAAACTGAATGTAAATCAAGAAATAAAGATTTAATATCGTACTTAAGCAAGATGGATTAGCATAAATAAAACAAGATTCAAGAAATCGAATGTAAACCAAAAAATAATGATCAAGAAATTGAATGTAAACCAAGAAATAAGAATTTAACATTGTACTTAAATGAGATATATATATATATATATATATTAAAGAAATCAAATGTAAACCAAGAAATAAGGATTTAATGTCGTACTTAAACAAGATACAAGAAATCGAATGTAAACCAAGAAATAAGGATCAAGAAATTGAATGTAAACCAAAAAAATATGGATTTAACAAGATGGATTAGCATAAGTAAAACGAGATACAAGAAATCAAATGTAAACCAAGAAATAAGGATCAAGAAATTGAATGTAAACCAAAAAATAAGGATTTGTACTTACCTTTCAAGTTCGGCAATGGAAGTTTTTTGCGGGGTGCGGTGGAGTAGGATGAAGGTGGTATAATCACCATGTTTGTGAAATCAAATCTAAGCAGAAGTGTTTCTGATTTGTGCGAGAGAGAACGAGAATGACAACAAAAGTGAAGATTGGATGTTTGAGAGAGAGCGAGACTGACAATAGAAGTGAAGATTGGAGTTAAGAAGTGTTGAAGTGAAGGGTATTTATAAGCCCTCTTTGTGGCTTTCAACTGTGGGTCCACGTGAGTTCTATAATTCTATTCCTCAATTTCTTTCCTTTCCGATGAAAGTGGTAAAATTTAGGAAAAAGTAAATGGTACTCCAATTCTAGTTATCTACGTTATATTAAATTTAAATTAAAAAATATATATCATTTTTATAATAAAATTGAACTTTTACTTTTACACAAAGAAGTTCAAAATGGTACCAAAGAAATCATTCATCTATAGAACTTTTATTTAATTCGTTAAATTAGTAACTATAGATAAGAAATGATTACGTGTGTGAGCACCCATGACATTATTTTTTCGAAAATATTTGGTATTTTCTTTTTAATAAAAAAATACTTAACAAGAAATTAACATAGCCCTTTTTTGAAAAGGTATCCAAAATATATTTTCTTCCTCTTCAATGATTTTTTCCTTAACTCAATTAATTATTCGATCAATAAAATGAATCAAATCATATTTTATTCTGATTTTTTTTTGGAATTATCGAAAAAAAAAAAATCTTTGCCCCACATCGTCCATATTATTTTGTCGTGATTCATTTAGGAAATTTTATGATTAATCAAAAAAATTGAGTGGCTAATAATATCAATATATAGAGCGGGATGATGTTTTATTTAAAATCCAAGAACTACAAGCAAAATTGTGGTTGTGTAGAATTTTTAGATTTGATTGTAAAAAACAAACTGCTCTATCCATAATCCATCACAAAATTGAAAAAAGACATAAAAAGAATATAATTTTATGATTTACAACAAGAAAAAAATGAAAAAATAAACTCCATTTAGGAAAAATCATCGATCAGCCTCCCCATATTATGAGTTTATGCTATGCTAGTTTTACTTGTGGAGTTGGGGTGCGGCTTCAAAACCCAAATCTATGATATTTCTATTTCACGTCACATGTTGAAGCACTTTTTTATAGAGATAAACGCGCTTTTATGATTTAAAAATATGGAGATTCCATAGCAAAACTTTGGAGCAGCCCTCTTGAGGAATTCCCTTCAGCTTGGTATCCTCTTCAAGAACCTCCTTTTTCACGAATTTGAGTATATTCTGCAAGTAAATTAAAACCAATAAATTCACATTTGCAATAGATTTAATCTCGTTCTACCCTTCACTACATTACCCAAAGATACATCAAAGTATAGAAACACGTCAAAATAAAACATTAATTGAAAATATATTTATTAAAACATCTGATATCATAAACGAGCTTGAGTTATTAAGATATATACCAACAACTGAATTTATTACGTGACGACTTGTAATTTACCTGTGAGTCACGTTGAGCAGATGAAGTGCGCCCCCATCTTTCTGGATCCCAAAGAATAGAGCTATTGAATGCGAAACTTGAAATATGAATTGGAAGTGTAGTTGTTGTATCTGTTGAATTTTCCATTTTCTTCAAATGCCACCCTATAACTTCTGACGAATCACATACAGGTCCTTCTATAGTTACCTTCTTTTTGTTGGCATATAGTTTAGCTATTGGCCATGTCCCAAATGCCCTGAAATATAATCCTCTAGGCTTTAATTAGTAATAATCTTAATAGAAGTTGCAAGATTGAGAAATGATGAAGAAAACATACTCTATTGCTCTAATCTCTTGGAAGAAGCTAAGATCATATACATTTGAAAGTGAGGCAAAATGCACAATTCCATTCAGCCTATGATGCTCAATGTGATTAAGAGCAAGGTTTCTTTGATGATCCATTTCAGCATGTATATCAGTGAAATTCTCCTTGAACACTACATGCCTATACATGATTCCTGTATTTCTTAATATCTCCAAAACCTCTGCAGAATCCGAAAACTGCTCCACGACAATCCACAACAGTGGTTGAGCAACTAATTTCAATGTGTTTGCTAGCCTCCTAAGAAGCACCCCTCGAAGCCTATCCATCTTGCTTGTAGGAGTAACAATTATTACAAGCCTCCTCGGATTTAACTCACCGTTGTTTATTGTTTCTTCTTTGGGGTTTTTAAGGTTTCCTGCATCACGGGATTCCTCTGGTGCAGTAGAGATTGCAGTTTCTTCCAATTCCCTTGTGGTAAAATTCTGTGTTTTCTCAGGGTTTAACACTTCCACAGGCGGTGGTGAAAATTCTAACGGTTTATTCCAGATTGCAACTTCATTAGAAAATATTGAAGACTTGCCTGTTGGAGCAAAGCCTGTGAAGAATCCCATGATGAAACATAACGAGAAATGAACAATAGCTTTCTTCCATAATTGAACCTTCTTTTTTGATCTTTCCAAGGATCCCATATTGATCTGAAGTATTCTAAAATCTGTCTTTTCCAGTATATGTTTCTAATTGCTTTTGTGGGGTTTAATGAAGATATATGATATGGAGGTTATGGTAATGGAAGGAGGCAACAGACAGTCGATTGATATTTCAAGCCTAGATGTTTATGATTGGAGGGTTTGCTTCACAGAGTCATCACTTGAAGTAAAAGAAACAGAAAGAGAATCATGGGAGGAGGACTGAATTGCTTGCTGCACCTAAGGGTGGTTGAGATGCATATTCATCGCCTAAAAATTTGAAGGGGAAAAAATGGAAAAATCAAGTAAAATGTGTGTGAATTGGATGCAAAAGACTCTTTAAAGAGCATTTATACATATTAGAAAATATCTTCAAATTTAGAAAGTAATTTTTTTTTTTTATGTACTCCAACAATGTTCTATATTTTGACTATTTATTTATTTTTTAACGAAAATTTATTAATTTATCTCTCCATCTTTTTTTTAACATAATTTTTTTATATTATTGATGGTCAATCAATTCAAATATAATTTAAATAAGTTAAAGGGAAAATAGTAGCACCGGTCCCAAACATTTGAGTTTTTTGCAGACTTTATCATAACCTTCAATTTATGCTAACGATAATCCCAAACCTTGGAAAACTTAGCACATGGGGTCCAAATTTTGATCATTAGTTGATCAAGAAAATGTCTTTTGACCAAATCTAAAAAGGGCAAAATGGTAAATTTGTCATTATACCACATAAAATAATTAAAAAACGGAAAAGGCCTCACCCCCTCCCCCCCCCCCCCCCCCAAACCCTATCCCCCAACCCCACCCAAACGAAAATTTATTAATTTATCTCTCCATCTTTTTTTTAACATAATTTTTTTATATTATTGATGGTCAATCAATTCAAATATAATTTAAATAAGTTAAAGGGAAAATAGTAGCACCGGTCCCAAACATTTGAGTTTTTTGCAGACTTTATCATAACCTTCAATTTATGCTAACGATAATCCCAAACCTTGGAAAACTTAGCACATGGGGTCCAAATTTTGATCATTAGTTGATCAAGAAAATGTCTTTTGACCAAATCTAAAAAGGGCAAAATGGTAAATTTGTCATTATACCACATAAAATAATTAAAAAACGGAAAAGGCCTCACCCCCTCCCCCCCCCCACTCCCCAATCCTTATCCCCTAACCCAATCCAACCAAATCAACTCGCCACCGTTGGTGCCTTCTTCCACAACCACAACCACTCGTCATCGTCGCTGCTTTCCAAGGGCATTTCGTTGTGAAAGCATTTGCTGGTCCGATGACAAATTCGTTTAATAGATTTACTGGGGATAAAAATCATCCCCAAACACTCCCCAAATAAAAGAGTGAAAGAGTCTCTCAACTACTAAGCCACATTAAGCTTCTCATCCGCCGCAAGACAGTCGTAATGACTATCCTTGATTCTGGGTTCTATTCCTGTTAACCCAAAATTATTTATTAAAAAGTCAAAATCTGTTTGCAATTTGAATTAATTACAATTTTTCGAAACCAGAACTTCTATTGACATTCTTTTTTCTTCTTGAATATTAAATGACTTGATTGGGTAGAGGCATGGAGCGAGTTGGAACTGATTCCCTTTTTTTCCTTTTAGTACTTGGTTTTTGGGACAAGCTTGTTGCCATATAGGCTTAATGAAGGATGCAATGGTGCTCTTCCAGCCAGGGTCGATCCTGTGATTGTCGGGGCTTGAAGCAAATTCCATAAATTAGGCCCTCGAACGAAATCAACATAAATGTAAAATTCAAAAGTATATTATGCGACATATTACTAACTTAAAACTAACATTAAAACAACCATCAAATATATTATAAAAAAGATTTATATTATCATATTTAGGAGACATAGCATATGAGTCTATATCTAATGTCCAGTGATGAACCTAAAAAACAATTACAAAATATCTCAATCATTTCACCATTATTGTTTTCAATATAGTTACTATGTGCGCCTGTACAATTGTTCATTCTACAATAATTAATCATATAAGTCGATCAGACCGCAATTATATAAGTCGATAAGGCTTCAAACATTTTTCAATATCTTCAATAATAAGTTAGGACAAGTCATTGCTTACTGAGAAGTGGAATTTCGACGAAAATTATGAAATTACACCCTTGACAATTCAATCGTCGCAACTCATTAAGTTTGGAATAAAAATTTAAATAGAATCAAAGATTTATACACTACTTAAGATCCTTTTATATTTGTGATCTGATACAAAATTGATTGTGCTTTTTATTTCTAAATAGTTATTATGATAGTTTAACTTACACATTATCAAATTTAAGTAAAATTAAATTTAGAGCATTGTCGCATTGTAAGAAGTTATTCAAATCAATTGATTCAATTCCTACAATTAGTAGATAATCATACATTTAAATGTAGAAATTCATAAATGTGTCTTAACATGCCTTAGGTAAATACAAATTTATGAACAAAACAATGGATAAAATATGGTTTGAACTTTGAAGTGAAGTAACAGATCATGATGTCCAATTGGTAAATGCCTAAATGGTAATCACTAGTTAAAAGAGTGATTCAAGCACTAAGCCTTGCAAATCCACAGTGGCCGGCACCTGTATTGGAGTCTCCACCCACAAATTGCCGAGATTCCTCCCATTATTTAGTGTGTTAACCGATGCCAAACCCATTAGGGCAGTAAAGAGATGCTAAAAATGAATATTAACAAAACTTTAGAAACTAAAATTATGAAAATAGATTTGTTATTTTCATCCTCCGCACCCGCCACTAAAGAACCAAGGCAATGCCAACCTGAATTGTTCACTGCAATTTATTATTTTCGTTTAAGTATCAACCGAATTGTTCGCCAGCAAACAATAATTTTTTTTCTTAATATTAAAAAGGAAAAAGAACATAAAAAATAAAAATTCAAAGAATACCTTGGCACCTTCAAACCTTCTTTCAAAACTACTTGAGCACTAAACAGTCCTTCCAATTCTGCCTCATGCGTCTTCCTCAACTCCCTAATATCACCATTCAAGCTCTCCACGAGTTTATTTATAGCATTTTTTTTAAAAACCTCAGCTGAATCCTCCATTATCATTCCCAAACCATAAGCACTGCCAGACCGAGTCCTTTTGGGCTTCTGATGTGCAGTTATTGTATAAAAGTTACGTCCCCATCCCTTGTTTTTATTTTATGCGAAACCTTATACAAAATATTCTTGACATTACAGTAAATTATGTCCCATTCCCTTCTGCAAGCCTTCTAGGCTTCTTTTGATATTAAAAATAAATAAATTGGTCCCCTTACTATCTTGGGCTTGAGTCGCAAGCCTCATCTGCCTCGCGTCAGAATTGGGCCTGCTTCCAACTACCGCGGCATCCTAAGGGTGGGATGGGAAAGATTAACAGCTCCATTTTCCTTTCACATTTTTTTTAAAAAATATTTTTAATTATAATTATATTACCACTACAAATTTTATTAATGCCTTGTTTGTTATCCTTTAACAAAATAAATTATTTCTACAGTAAAATTTTTCATCACACATTTACACAATAAAATATTCTACACAAAAATCAATAAATTTTTTTTAAAATTTTAATCACACGTTCTCTAAAAACTACCATTCAAAACTCTATATTTTCTCCCAAAATGGGAGACAGACAAGCTCTAAGTGTACTACAATTTTTAGCATTTTTCATATTTACTTAAATAGCCCTAAGTAAAATTACATATTTAGGATTTCAATATACATTTTAATTAAAAAAATTATTATTCCACCACAAAAAATAAATTTAATTTTTTTCTTTTTTTCCCCCTCAACATGTGATAGGGCACAACTTTTCCATTGACGGCAACTTTTGCTTTCTTTCACGGCAGCAAGATAAAATTAAAATATGCCATATTGCCAAAAAAATTAAGTTTATATTTGTTTGTTGCACCGTTGGAGAACTGTGCTTTGTTAAGGTAAAATCATGTTCGTTATACCATGGTCAACCAAATTGCTCAGGGTTTTTTCCTTACACACAAAAATGTTCAGATTCAAAGGTATTGACGAGAGCAAGAGGCAGAACAATTAGGGGTTCATCATCATTACAATGGAAATTTAATGTCTCGTGGGGTTTGCATCTCAACTGCTATTTAAGATAAATACCAGTTTGAACGTATATTTATCCATCATGATTATGAAACCACCAAATGCAGTCTTCAACTACTTAGGAGTAACCGTAGACATGCCTCCAAATATTCATTCAACAATCTTTTGGTCTGTTGAACTTTAGGCGTAACTTATTTTTTCATTTCGAGAGTTTAGCCCTATAACGAGGATAAACCTGAATAAGAAGTACCATACAACCTTTATGTCCCCTAACCGAAATCACAGTTCCTCAATGTTCACTAAATTTAGAAACTGACGTAGCGAAAATATTATAGGGAAGATGAACAGTCATAAATTGAGAAAATTCTCAAGGAAGATTTTATTGAATTCAAGAAATGTTGCCTCAAAGGGCTTACAATTGATTAAATAGAAGAAAAATCTAGGAAAATCCGGAAAATAAAATAAAATAAAATAAAGATATTTTTTTCCAAAAATAGAAAATATGAGATAATTACTAGGATGAAAAATACTTATCTTCAGGATCATCCCCCAACAAACGGAATCTAAATTCGAATTTCATGGAAAGAAATATTGCAAAAAATGAAAATTACCATAAATAGCAAAAACGATTAAACGAGGGCCTAAACGATGGATTTTGCTCGAAATTGGCCTTGCGTCAGGGCCAAAGGCACTGAGTTTTATTCCTTGGCTCGACTCCAATCAAATTAGACTAGCGATTTGCCAAAAAGAGCAAACCTAAAGTCATCATGAAATTATTTGCCCCTTTTTGCCAACTTTTGCCTTGTGATGGTCTCATTTTGCCATGAATTCTAATCCCTTATGCACTCCATCATTCTCCCAGGATGGGAAAAATTCACCCTCGAATTTGACGGGAAAGGAGTTTCATCATCATCATCAGAATTATCACCATGAAATTGCACCAAATGCTTGATATTGAACACGTCGGAGGTACGAATATGGCTGGGCAGTTTTAAACAGTAAGCATTCGGATTGATCTTCTCAAGGACCTCCAATGGACCAATCTTCTTCGCAGTAAGCTTGTATTCATGAGCAGGAACACGATCCATTGTTAACACCGCCCAAACAAACTCACCTACCTCAAACTCAATATGTCGGCGTTTGAGATCCGCAGCACGCTTATACTCAGCGACAGCAGCTGATCATGAGCCTATGAGTGAACCTGCTGCAGTTGTTAAATAAAGTCTTGGGCCTTACCATGCATTTTAACAGAAGTAGAAACTGGAACCAGATCGAGAGGACCACGAGGAACAAGGCCATACACCACCTGGAACGGACTAAAACCTGTACTTCGGTTAACAGCATGATTGTGAGCGAATTCTGCTTGACACAACTTCTGATCCCAAGACTTGATGTGATCACCAACCAAACAACGTAGTAAATCACTTAAGGAATGGTTAACAACCTCTGTTTGACCATCTGTTTGAGGGTGATATGCACTGCTGAAGTCCAGTCGTGTATTCACAAAGTGCCATAAGCTGCGCTAGAATTGGTTGAGAAAACGAGTATCCCGATCGGACACAATAGATGTAGGCAGTCCATGAAGGCGATAAACTTCACGAAAATACAGTAAGGCTACATTGACAGCATCTGTAGTCTTCTTGCAGGGGATGAAATGTACCATTTTTGAAAATCGATCAACCACTACGAAGATTGAATCAAAACCACGCTGGGTCCTGGGAAGTCCCACAACGAAATCCATGCTCACATCTATCCAAGGCTGGGTTGGGATAGGTAGGGGCATATACAAGCTCGCATTGGTCGCTTTGCCCTTAGCTAAGTGACAAACCCGACAACGCTCTACAAACTTGCTGACATCTTTGCGCAATGATGGCCAAAAGTAAGAAGCAACAACAAGCTGCAATGTTCGGTCACGACTTACATGGCCCTCATTATGCAACTCTTGAATGATCTTCAACCTCAAACTACCCTCTGGAACACACAACTGATTGCCATGAAAAAGAAAACCATCAACCCATGTAAACTCCAACTGTACACCCTCCTGCAACTTCTGGACTACATGAGAAAAGTATGGGTCAGTAGCATATAAGTCACACAACCTGTCAAAACCTGGAACCTCCACTCGCATTTCTATAAGGAGCGTTTGGCGCCTACTCAACGCATCCGCAATTTTGTTAAGGGCACCTGCCTTGTGCTTGATCACAAACGTAAACTGCTGTAGATAAGCAATCCAAGAGGCATGTCGAGCAGAAACCTTATCCTGAGTACCAAGGTGCTTAAGGGCATCATGATCCGTATACAAAATGAACTCCTTATGGAACAAATAGTGACGCCAATGTCGAACGGCCTGGACTATTGCATAGAACTCCACATCATAAGTACTATACCGAGACTTCGAGCCAGAAAGCTTCTCACTGAAATATGCAACAGGGCGGTTGTTCTGATTCAGCACACCACCAATACCCACTTTCGAAGCATCACAATGCAACTCAAATGGTTGGGTAAAGTCAGGCAACACCAAAACTGGAGCAGTAGTCAACTTCTGCTGAATCAATTGGAAAGAAGACTCTGCTTCGTGAGTCCACTGAAACCTACCATCCTTCATGCAATCTGTAATTGGTGCCATGATGCTACTGAAATGCAGTATGAACCTGCGATAGAAGGAAGCAAGGCCATGAAAACTCCCTATCTCAGTGACAATCTTGGGCTGTGGCTACTGACTTATCGCCTCTACCTTAGATGTATCAACTGCTAACCCCACCTTCGACACCACATAACCCAAGAACACCACATTATCAATGAGAAAGGAACACTTCTTCACTGCAGCATAGAATTTATCCCTTCGAAGAACTGAAAGAACTTCTCGAAGGTGCCGAACATATTCATCATCGTTAGTACTATAAATTAAAATATCATCAAAGTAGACCACAACAAATTTATCGATGAATAGGCAAAGAGCCTGATTCATAACCTGCATAAATGTGCGGGCGCATTTGAGAGGCCGAAGGGCATGACTAACCACTCGTACAATCCTTCCCTCGTCTTAAATGCGGTCTTCCACTCATCCCCACGTCTGATCCTAATCTGATGGTACCCACTCTTCAAATCAAGCTTACTAAACACACAAGCACCGGTAAGCTGATCCAATAAGTCATCTAGGCGGGGAATAGGAAAGCGGTAACGCACCGTAATCTTATTGATTGCCCTACTATCCACGCACATGCGCCACGTGCCATCCTTTTTCGGTGTGAGAAGAGTGGGAACAGCACAAGGACTAAGACTCTCCCTGATGTGTCCTTTTGCCAGAAGCTCCTCAACTTGCCTGCGCAACTCTTCATGCTTAGTGGGGCTCATTCTGTAATGTGCCCGGTTAGGTAGGGCAGCTCCAGGCACCAAGTCAATCTGATGCTGAATATCCCGTAGTGGTGGTAGTCCATCAGGAAGCTCTTCTGGGAAAACTTCATGAAACTCCTTTAGCAATGGCTGAACTGCGAGAGGGACTTCATGCTTACTGTCAACCGACTTTCCAATCAGCACATACACTACTCCAGACTCCTCCATCTCTGTCTCGAACTTCTTTCTGGTCAGTAAATTGGCATTGTTCCCAACTATCTGTACTGAACCCTTATCCGGAAGTAACACAATTTTCTTTCCCCCAAACAGAAAGTTGTACGTGTTGGTATATCCATCATGCAGTGAGTGCCTGTCAAACTGCCACGGCCTCCCTAATAGTAAATGACATGCATCCATCTCTACTACATCACATAAGACCTGATCCTTATAGGTAGGTCTGATGGAGAAGCTAATTCTAGCACGTTGAGACACTTCTACGTCATTGCCTCTTTTCAGCCAGGCTAATTTATAAGGTTTGGGATGTTTCTCAGTCTGCAAACCCAGCTTCTTAACGATTTCCTCAGCCAAAACATTCTCACAACTACCAGAATCAATAATAAATTTGCACACCTTCCCTCCAACAGTACATGTTGATTGAAAGATATTATTACGCAACCAATCAGTGTTATTCTCCAAAGGAGTCAGGAAACTCCTCCTCACCACCAGTGCCTGACCCACATCACCAACCACAAACTCTTCCTCTTCTGTTACTTCTTCTCCGCCCTCACCATCAAATACAGGTGGACCTTCACAATCGCCATTTCCCTCATCAACAAAGAGTCGCCTGCGCGAATTCTTTGGGCACTCAGACTGCCTGTAGCCTGTAACTCCGCATCTAAAACAACGAATACCAACCCCAGGACGTGTTGGTTGTTGGGCAGGATTTGTTCTAGGAGGACCAGATTGAGTAGGATTACCAGGTCGTGCCACCTGCCGTTGTGAGTTACTAGAAGAACTCCCTACAATGAAAGGACTAGTAGTTTTCCTGGACTGTTGCTTCTCTATCTGTATTGCCCTCTGATGTGCTTCAGAAACTGTCACAAGATCAAACATATTGAGAGTATCCTGTATTTCGGGACGAAGACCACCCACATACCGTGACACCAACTACTCCTCCGTCTCCATCATCTCGTTCCTCGTAATCAACATATAAAAATCAGTGGTATAGTCACTAACCGTTTTCCCACCTTGACGCAGATTTTACAGTTGGTGGTGCATGGTCCGTATATAATTGTAAGGCAGAAATTGTTTCTTCATATGTTTCTTCAATTTGTCCCACAATGCAAGCTTAGGTTTCCCCAGCCTGTATCTTATCACCTTAGTCTGCTGCCACCACGTCACTGCTCGCCCACGAAGCCTCGTTGCAACGAGAGGCACACATTTATCGGCAGGAACCTCTTTAAACTCCAAGACCTCCTCCACTGCAGTCACCCAATCCAAGAATTCCTCTGGACTCAACCCACCATGAAATTCTGGAATATCCACCTTAAATCCTGATTCCCAACGTCGGTTGTCCTCCTGACCACCCTTTCTCCGGTGAACTGGCAGATCCAATGGTTGTTCAAGCGGTGCAAACGGATTCTCATCATCGGAATCCCCAAGTTGTTGACCTGTAGGCGTAGGTTGCTGTGGCATAAGCGCAGCGATCTGCCGTGTCAGCAATTTCACTTGTTGACGTAACTGTGCAACTTCATCACGTCTATGTATCTCCTCTACCGGGGCATCACGGGCTTCAGGACGTCTCCTTAGCGGCATGGTGAAGGAACGATTTCGGCTCTGATACCAACTGACGTAGCGGAAATATTATAGGAAAAATGAACAATCACAAATTGAAAAAATTCTCAAGGAAGATTTTATTGAATTCAAGAACTGCTGCCTCTAAGGACTTACAACTGATTAAATAGAAGAAAAACCTAGGAGAATCTGAAAAATAAAATAAAATAAAGATATTTTTTTTCCAAAAATGAAAAATATGATATTATTACTAAGATTGAAAATACTTATCTTCAGGATCATCCCCCAACAAACGGAATCTAAATCCGAATTTCATGGAAAGAGATATTGCAAAAAATGAAAATTACCATAAATAGCAAAAACGATTAAACGAGAGCCTAAACGATGAATTTTGCCCGAAATTGGCCTTGCGTTTGGGCCGAAGGCGCTGAGTTTTATTCCTTGGCTCGACTCCAATCAAATTACACTAGCGATTTGTCAAAAACAAGCAAACTCAAAGTCATCATGAAATCATTTGCCCCTTTTTGCCAACTTTTGCCTTGTGATGGTTCCATTTTGTCATAAACTCTAATCCCTTATACACTTCATCATAAGCCAAAACAACATAATGCCAATGATCTAGTCGGAGAGCAACGTGCATCTTATGTGAATGAATTTTTGTAGGCGTGGACGAGGCAATTACTTTTTATGATCTACATCTAGAGCATTTAATACTTTTCTTATGTTTTCGATAGAGGTTGTCTTCTCTAATATAGGATCGGTTAAGTAAAGTCTATAAAATGAATTATCTCACCAACTAGAAGGGTCGGTGAGGAACAATTCTCGTCAACTATTGACTTAAAAGTTTCAATGTGTAACGAACACCCAACCATCTATAAAATTCTCATCGACCCTTATATTTGGTAAAGATCGTGAACCCAAAATTCAAACTCAAGGTTAAATTATAATGCACTGAGTTAAACTCAAATTTACATTGTCCAACACCAATTTATATTATAAAACAATAATTTCCAACCTAAACGAAATAAATGAGAAAAAACAACTAGAAATTTGAAAAAAGGTAGACAAGTCAAATTCAATCGTTGAAATAAGACTTCCTGCACTTGTTTAGAGACTACTCTGATGGCAATCGCATACAATTTTGATTGCAAGAATTGAATAACCTTCTATTTGTGGTCGGTGTTTGGTGATGAAATTCTTTATGACCTTTATGAATTCATGGCCTACGTGGGAATTATACAAGAGAGGGATAGATTGAGTGAAGTTTTTCTATATTATAATGGAAATTTAGGGAGTCAAAGACCTTTTTGGTTAAGCTGTTGATGGTCGGCCATTTTCCACTAAGGGTCTATTAGGGAGTTCTGGAATTGGTTATGGTATTTTTTTTATTTTTTATTTTTTAAAAGCATCAATTTTGAACGTCTATGAAGGGTTTGTTTTCGAATGATTTGTAGTAGTGATTTTAAAATAGTTCAACCTATGCTTATGAATTTATAATATAGCTATTTTGAGTTTTTTTTTTTTAAAAAGAATAAAATTACATATATGTTCTTTAGCGAAATTCTCATTTTATAATTTTTTTAAGTGATATTTTACTTATAAGTGATTTTTTATATATAAGGTATTTTTAAATTAAAATGTTTTCTAATAAGTAATTTTTTTAGTTATAAGTTGATTTTTGTACTTTTAATAATTTTTTACACAAGTGATTTTTACTTAGTAATTTTTATATTTTATACGCGAATTTTTGTCTTGTTAGTAATATATATTTCATAAACAATTTTTACACAAAAGCAAAATTTTATTTTATAAGTAAATTTTTTAGTTATTAAGTATTTTTTTAACTTTATAAATAATTTTTTTAGTTAATTTATAATAATTCTTTTGTTTATAGTTAATATATTTTTTTTTTATTTAAGAGTTAGTTTTGAATAAAATATGTGTACAAATAAATTTGTTAGATAGTGAAATTTAAATAGAATTTAATAAATATAATCAAAATTCACCGAAATGCATTCAAAATTACACTAACCAATTTTAATTTTTGAATAATTTTTTGGGTTATGCTACATTTATATTATGGTGTCCGTAAGGATGTCAAAAATGTACAACCGGTATGACATTATTGGAGAGTTGGAAAATAGTTTTTTCAATCCTTCAATCATGAAATTTTACATGTATATTATGAACACTCTCGTAATATCATAATGTACACGTAGAATTTTCCAAATTGAAAATGGCAAAATCTGATGAAAAAGCACCCGGGCCCTAATTCCCTCATATCTATTATAAATCCAAAATTTCAAATCTAATATAAAAAATGTTGAAATTAAAAACATGAGCTAACTATTTTAAATATTATTCTTTTGATCCAAATATATTCGTTGAATTTTGAAAATTTTCGATGAGAATGGAAACGCAGATGGAGGAGGGTTCCCATTAGAGAAGCAGGATAAGCGGCCCCGAAAACGACTTCGTTCAACATGGGACATGTCTCCTGTCCCTCCTCCTGATCATTCCAAGCCCCAAGGTCTTATTTTATATAGGAATTTTCACAGTTCTCTTGCATTTACATAAAAGTGCAATTTCTATTAAGTTAGGGCTTTTAATTGGATGTTTGATATATTGCACTATTAACTTGTTAGTGAAATTTGTTTACTTGCTAGTTGCTACGTTGGACTTATTCTGGATAACATGTCCCCCTCATCTGAATTTCTTTACTTGTTTTCAGTTCAAGGTACTTGGTTCTCAGATACTTTGTGTCTCTTCTGCTGTTTTCATTAGGTTTTTTTTTTTTAACGATGAAGAAGTTGTATACTGGCTTGATTTTGTTTTCCCATGGGCCATATAAATATATTTGGGGGAGGAATAACA